ACACTTTTTGCAGGGGCATTATATGTGACAAAGCATTGCAATAGACATAGGCTACGTATGATGTAAACATTATGGCTATAGATTATTAGTAAGGTATGGGGAAGCTCGGTCGTAGAGTTCATTGCTTTCAGATGTGAATGATCCAGGTTTCTACAAACACAATGCTACAGCACCACATGGTGAGGTAATTGGGTACTGCACTGAGCTTCAATTTACTTAGGTAGAAATGTAGAAAATGAGCTTGGCTCTGGAGACAGCTGATGGAGAGTTATAATGAAACACAATTAAAAAATATAAATTTGACTGGTCTGTGGTCGTAGGCATTTTTGTCGTAGCATTAAAAGTGTCAAAGCATTGCAATATATACTCTGTTGAGTGGTGTGCCATCCAAAATCTATGACTAGAAAATGATGATAAGGAAGGGGGATGTAGTTCAGTGGTAGAGCGTGTGCTCTACAAGGTCCTGGGTTCAATCCCCAGCATCTCCAACATAGATTAATATTTATTTGATAGTAAATCGTTGGACATTTAAGGATTCTGCTCATTTGGGTCATGTTAAAAAGAGCTATCAAAGTAATTTTTCAACACAAATGAAGCAAATATATTCGGTAAATAAAGAAGATTTTTATAAATTGTTAAAACAGTATGAAGGGGATGTAGCTCAGTGGTAGAGCGTGTGCTTTGCATGTATAAGGTCCTGGCTTCAATCCCCAGCTTCTTCATAACTGAAAGTCGAAGTGAACTTTATTGTCAATCTTACTCAGTTTGTGTTTACAGACAGAGAGATCGAAATGACGTTTCCAACAATCCCGAATACGAAAATAAAATTATACAATATACCGATATGTATACAAATATGTATATCCTATATACACAATCAACAGACACATTAAGATAAAAAACACAACAATCAAAAATAACAGTCCCTTCAATATCAATATATTTGGTGCAAGATTGTCCATAGAATGTGCATTTATTGCAGACTGTCCATAGCAGCGTAAAAACCTATAGGCTACTACTAGACTGAAGGGTGCTCAGTCATCCTGTTAGGTGTATAACTGTTCTGCATGTTTCCTGTATTGTTTATTTTTTATACAGATTTGAGATGTTTAACATTAAAAAAAAGAACCTGACATTACCAACAGGATGTAAAGAGGTTTTTACATTTTTGAAACACATGCCAAACCACCAGTCCTCAAATTGTTGATCTTGTTGTATTTACATGACTTTTGCTAATGCTCTTCTCCACATCAAATATAAAGGATCCAGTTTGGTACAATCAAAATGCAACAGCACCACATGGTGATGTAATTGAGTACTGCACTGAGCTTCAATTTACTTTGGTAGAACATTTTCTAGGCTCTGGAGACAGCTGACGGACAGTGACAATGAAATACAATTTAAAAGAGCATTCCGGTGATTGAACATTGTATTACTAGCATATACCAGTACTCATTATGGACAGTTTAAATACATCAAAACTGAACACATCAAAACTGAACACCAGAACGTTTATAACAAGATGCATCGCATTTTTTCACGTATTCTCATCTTTGTCAAAACATGCTGACTACATTACCCACAATGCAGCTCTGAGCAGAGATGAGGCTACTGAGGTCTGGTAGACTCACTTCTTTCTAACAGTGACACTTTTTTTCATTATCCGACCCATAGTTCTTAGTCCCTGCTGACACATTTATCAGACTTCATCTGATCAATCTCAGATATTGTAGGCTACTTAAGTCAAAGTAGAAATTACAGAGTGTTAACTGTGTTACTCGTAAAAGTCCTGCTTTCAAAAGGTTATTCAAGTTAAAGAACAAAAGTATAAGCATCAAAATATATTTAAAGTATCAAAAGGAAAATAACTTATTATGCACATTTCAGAATAATATATATGTTGTGTTTTGATTATAATTATTGATCATTAAAGTGTTATCAAAGCCGGTAAAGGTGCAGCTAGTTTTAATGACTTTATATACTGTGGATTTACTCCAGGTGTATATAAAGTCTGATTTAAGTGTTGACTATATTTCACATTATTAATCCAAAACTAAATGTACAAAAAATATATAGTCGAGTAAAAGTACACGATTTTCCTCTGAATTGTAGTTGATTAGAAATACAAGTAGCAGAAAATGTAAATACTCAAGTAAAGTACAAGTATCTCAAAATTTGACTTTATCACAGTACTTGAGTAAATGCATTTAGTGACTTCCCACTTCTGGACTTCATGCTCCTCTAGAGGCACAGCAAGCTCCATTCAACTTCACACATGTAGCTGTACTTCCTCCGACCTTCAAACAGAGTTTGATGTGTCAGTGTCCCTTTAAAGGAAAACTACTGCCATTTGTAAAAGTAATTGTTCTAAGACCTTCCAATAATATAATTACAATTAAACAGCTCCCTTTAAATTCAAACTCCAGACTGCTTACAGTTAAATCTGTGATGTCATGAAGTATAATGTTGGGGCAGGCTACACAGAAAATGAATTGGGACTTTATAGATGAGACATTTGCAGTATACGCCAACATTTCCTGTATTTAGAACTGATAACACCACAAGAATATTAAGAATTAAGTTGCAATACTGAGATGATAAATCATAATAAGGACAGGATTTGTTTTCCCTCTCAGTGGCGGAAATGGGCTTCCATAAATGCCATATTTTAACACGACTTCTGCTGATGTTCCCCTGGACAGTTCTCAGGTCTGATACTGACCTCTGGTGGCCAAAGCTAAAAGTTCATGCAGCAGTCTGTTTGCTTGCTGTGACAGTAGGTAATTATTAAATATAAATGTATTATCCTGCTACATTTAGTTTATATACAAATGTTTCTCCACATCTTTAATCATTTGCTGGAAACAACACCTTCAGTTTTGAGACAAACAATCTAACACAAATTCTAACACTGAGTGTCAACTTGCCAAATTAGTGATGATTCACAACAGTACATAGATTTTTACTCATAGCAATCATAATACCCTCTCTGACAGCTTAGACAAAAAGGCTTGGTGGGACAAATCTGATTTCTTAATTATAAACGTGATGTGCCCTTTTAGAAGATACTTCAAATTGTCCATAGACTTAATCATTCTCTCCCTCTGCATATTTTCATTGAATGAACGGATACAGAAGGAACATATCGCTTTTCATTCGGAGCATGATAAAAAAGAAAAGATGGTAAATTGCTATATATATATAAATATATGCAAATGTTTGTATTGTGTATGTTTTGCTTTAATAAGGTGCTGTTCACTCATTAAATCCTTTACGTCTGATCAACATTATGAAAAATGAAAAAACTCCATCAAGAAATAACCATTGATGTGCTGTATTTGTCAGTCTGGGGAGGATGTTGCAGTATCACAAAATTACACACTATGATCAAAGATTTAACAAGGGATTTAAAGAGTGCTTTCTTGTATTCACAACCGCTAAAATCTTTTACAACTTAGGTCAGCGTTCTCCCATTCATGCAAACATGTACTGGTGGCAGAGGCAAAGTTTGGACTTTATTTGTAGTCTTTTGTTATGAGGTTACTCACATTCGGTGGCCACAACTAGAAAACATTTATAAAAAATGGTCTGTTTATCTTCTGTTAACCTAGATCATATGGACTATATATTATTCAGTTTGAAATTCACTTCGTAAAACCCTTTTCCTCCACACTTTTTTAAGTCAAGACCCTTTTATTTATATAGCAATAGCACTATATTCCAAATTCCAAGTTTGCCTCAGTGGGCCTTCTTATTCTACGATTGCATGTTTTTACCTGGTGAAGAGTATAACATTTATTTTAAGGTTATCCTAATCGTTATCAATGATAGATTTTCTCAAATTTCGGGAAAACATTATACCTATAAACTAGTTTGTATTCTCTATTGTTTAAACAGAGGGCCTGAATTGTCTAATCGTATGTAACAATCTTGTGGAAAGTATTAGCATTTTGTCACTATGTTAGTATGGAGCATAGTGTCCCCCTAAAGTGTTTGGATTCACAAATATCACACACGTCCCCATGCAAGACAAAAGTGGTTTGGATGAAAGTTGTAATAGCTGGATTTAGATGTATAACTGTATAACATACAATTCTGATCTTTATTTAAGCATGTAAATTGCATAGGTTTTAGTGTGAGCTGTTGTGACATGGCCCCACCAATCTCCAGGAGATCTGAAATATAGACCCCAACATGTTGCACAGTGGATATGAGTGTTTCAGTGTAGCATTATGCATGCCGCTGCCAGCTGCAAATTATTTGTCCCATACTATTATAGATATTTACAAGTGAATATATCTATGAATGTGTCAGCTCTGTGGGTGTAGACATTTTTAGGGCTATTAAAATGACAAAGCATTACATTAGAAACACTCTGGTGATAGGGCAGTAGTAGTAAGTAGGTGAAATGTATAGCTAGTTAATAGTGACAAAGAAAGGGGATGTAGCTCAGTGGAAGAGTGTGTGCTTTGCATGTACAAGGTCCTGGGATCAATCTCCAGCATCTCCAAAAGCATTTACCTATATCTTCTCATCTACTAAATGAAGACAACCTCCAACCCTCAACAAGTGCTCCTCATTCTTACAACAATTTAGTTTATTAATCATACTTACCTCATACAAGATCTTGGGATCAATCCCCAGAATCTCTAACAGTCATCATAACTGTCACCTTTCAACACCCCCTGAACTGGTGAAAAATAAACAACCTTACTGTGTACTGTTGTCGAATGTCCACTGATATTTCGCAACCAAATGCTTTGGATAATGATGACCGATAATTCAACAACTTAAAATTAAACTAAAAGGGATGTAGCTCAGTGGCAGAGTGTGTGCTTCGCATGTACAAGGTCCTGGGATCCATCCCCAGCATCTCCATCATGATTGGATTCTGTTCATTTGGCCATAATAGCTGTTTTTTTTTTTTATAAACCAGGTATAGTATTAGTATAGAAATGTACAAACAAGAAGGTTTCTACAGATTGGTGTGATTGTATTAAGGGGATGTAGCTCAGTGGTAGAGCGTGTGCTTCGCATGTACAAAGTCCTGGGCTCAAACCCCATCATCTCCAACACCATTGAAACTGATAGCTTCTTCTTAAGACTATCTCAAACCATCAGTGCTCCTCATGCAAACCGGTTCATGAGCTGATCTATTTTCCTTTTGCAAGCATGTATAATGTCCTGGGATCAATCCCCAGAATCTCTCTGAACACCATCTAATGATTCAACAACTAAGATGCTGATAAAACACTTAAAATAAATAAATGAATGGACCAGACAATCTTTAAAGAGACAGAAGGGGATGTAGCTCAGTGGTAGAGCGTGTGCTTCGCATGTATAAGGTCCTGTGTTCAATCCCCAGCATCTCCATCAGAGGTGGAGTAAATCTTTAGTACTAGACTAAAGGATGCTCAGTGATCCTCTTAGCTATATATCTACATGGCTTGTTTCCATTAATGTTTATCAATTAAATGTACAGTGTGTAAGATAAAGCAGATTTTAAATTTATAACATTAAATTATTCAGATATATCTAAATATGAATATTTGATTGAAACCAGAGCATTATTTTCTAATGAAAAGTTCAAATGCTTTCAATAGTTTCAATGTCATGTGACCAAGTGACCCCAAATCAATGTAGCATTGAATCACAAAACTGAACGAGCAGGACACACCTTCTTCTTTATTTTGATTTAAGTGTTTTTTCAATTTGATTGAAAAAACAGAACGTTTTTCTCAAGTGAATAGTCTTGTTTTTGTGATCAAGTCACTCCAAGTCAATGCATGATTGTAATGCTGCTACGCTGTATGAGTAGGACACTTATTCTTCTTCTCTTTTGATTGGACTTTCGTTTTTTTTTCTATTCGGCATCAATGTTTTATTGAAATGTTGCATTTATGTCAGAATTATCTTATCACCACACAACAATTTGGATATCAATCTAATAAAAAAGTAAATGTTTTTTCTTTAGCACTTTCCTTCAAGCGTTAATATGACATACACACACACACACACTCTTAATGAAAGTTAACGTTGGCTCAAGAGAGGCGGGAGGCCCTGAGGACAACAGCCAACACATTTGAGACAACTTGATGCATTCAGTCACATGAGATTACCATGTTATCGATAACACAATAAAGATCTTCTGATGTAACTCCCATCTGTTGTGATGCAACCTCAGAAGGACAAAGAGTAAACATGATGATTAGGCTTCAGGGTCATTAGTCCACTACATCTCTGGGGTTCTATTGTTGATGTCATGCACTGGGACCAGTAGTCTCCATGCATAACTGTTACGTCCCCACTAAGGTCTAGGGGACCTGGAGACAATAACATACAACCAATAAAAATGAGGGAGTCAGTGTAACAGTTGACAAAAGGTTTATTTTTTGTAAACCCAGAATCGAACAGACATATACTTGAAACACTCGGTTTTTTTGTTTGAGTTTTGGTTTCAAAGGATAGATGTAGAGATAGGCCTGGTTTTGTTATGCTTGTTTCTTTTGTTTGGCACAATCCTTTGACTCCTCCTCCTCCTCCTCACCAACCGAGTGTTTCAATTATATGTCTGTTCGGTCCTGGGTTTAATAAATAAACCTTTTGTCAACTGTTACACTGACTCCCTAATTTGTATTGGTTGTATGTTATTGTCTCCAGGTCCCCTAGACCTTAGTGGGGACGTAACAATAACAAACATGCAACTGTGTGCTAACTCCCTATACACTGAGAGAAGGCCACTAATGTTAGAAGGCCTAGAATAAAAAATGCCCATTTTTTTCCTGAATAATTAAAAAAAAATGTGCTCTGTCAATTTAGAAGAAGGGTGAAATAGCAAAATATCTGACAACAATTTTATCAATGGCAAGAATCATAGGAATGAATAGAGACAAAATATATTGTTATTTACTGTAAGTTCAGCTTTGGTGACCAACTCCAAGACTTTGTGAGTGGGCTGACCTTTGAGGGAACTAAGTGAACGGAAAAGTCCATGATGGAGGAAGTTTTAATTTTAGAGGTGTATCGCCTTCCAATGCAATTTCACACAATGTCACAGCAAAGCAAGGACAGGCAAGGCTTTGTTAATGTGCACCGCTTTACTCCTTTAGCAAAGACCTTCAGCCAAGGAGTTGCCCCCTGGTCAGCTGGAGGGGGATCAATCCTTCTTTAGGAGAGGGCAAACCTCCTTCCATCGTTGGCTCTTCTCTCAAAGCACATAGTGGGCTTGGGCAGCTGTTCCACCCATGGAGGCTGGTCAAGAACAGGCTGTGATCAGACCTTCATTTAAAGAGAATTGACCACTGTGTCCTTGGGAGGTTATTGCCAGGTACTTTTTGAGTGGATTTCTGACACCAGGTGGTAGGTTGCGACATCTTTTGAATCCAATTCATTGGAGACTGGGTGGTAATGTCTGCTGGAGGTGTTTTACTTCCAAATTGGTCAACTAGATGGCATAGGAGCATTAGTTGGATTAACTAACATGGATTAAACCAAAACAATATGTAATGTAATATTTGCAGAAGGTATAGGGGTAAAGCTCCCAATATCACAGCTCCAAGGGGTCAGACTGCACCACATGAAGGTTGCAATTATTGGAGGTTGACAAACACAACTGTCTCTGCACTTGTAAATGCTTGCTGCTGTTACCAGCAGCTACTTCACTGTTCAAGAAGGCCACTTGTGGTCATGTTCAACGTAACTCTAATCCAAACATCCTTTTTGTTAGCAAATAAATATTTCATCAGTTTCAGCCTGCTCCCTTTCTTTCTGAAATGGTCACACAAAAATCACCAGATCACAACAATACTCTAAATGGGGTGTGAGGGTGACATTAAATTGGGCTTCTCCTTTTTATAACACCCATAAATTGGCTTACACATGTCATTGTTTGACAACAGCATTGTGTTGACTGAAACTTGAGAAAAATATTCTTCTATAGGGCTCAGAAGTGAACTATTCACTCCATTACTGAAAAATGTACCAATCAAAATTAGATTAGATAAGATTTACTTTATTGATCCCAATTTGGGATTTTTTTTTTGCATCGTGTAAACAAGGCATTGCACATAGTGTGAAAATGAAAAAGAGTAGAAAATAAACAAACGTAAAATATAAACATCTCAAAATAGAAAATAAAAACAGAACTAAATAAAATAAAATATGTACACTTTGACAATGAAAGATATATTTCTGTAGATTATCCGTCAAATATAAACACTATGAAGGGCCAACATACAGCTAACACAATTTAAATGTATGTATTAGTATGATATTTTAACATTAAGTGTAAAAGAAATAGCATATTACTGTATAAGGTGAAGTGTGAAGACACTATGGATGAAGAATGTTTTTGAAGGGAAAAGTGGTGGAGTCCAGCTATAAGTAGCATAAGAAACTATGAAGCTGTGAGTTCTCGACATAATTGAATGAATTGAGCTAATGCTCAACACCATGCATTTTCATTTATGTTATCGTGCTTTAACAGTTCAGATGAAACACTTGTTAGTTTTAAGATTAAACAACCTTGAATCAATAGTTTGTTTTGGTTTGTCTCCATTGTTATATTTGAATAAATATCTTTTTTTTCTTTCTCTGAGCTGCCATCCAATGAAATGCCTGTGGCAAAGAGGGAGTTCCCTTTCATCAGACTAATAATACTGACACTGACACAGTGCAACAGTAGGATGCCTGGACAGGTAATGCTAAACACCCACAGAACATATTGCAGGTTAACAATCAGTGTTTATACCTTTTAAAAGAAACGGTCTGATCTTTTGAGTACAGTTCATGACTTTGAGAATTTTGGTTTAAAATGAATTACAGCAACATAACTAACTCATCTAGTATAGTTTTTTTTACCTTGTCTGGCTTCAGTGCGACTGTCAACTACAAATTCACAATTGTCTCTCTCACTTCACTATGTTATTTTCTCATTGTGGTGGTTAACTTTTGTATCATTATCACCATTATCTTGGACACAAATTTGCATGAACCCATGTATGTCATTTTGTGTAATCTGTGCGTTAATGGACTTTATGGGACTGCAGCCTTTTATCCAAAATTTGTTTTTGATCTGCTGTCGGATCATCAAATCATATCATATGTGGGATGCTTTCTTCAAGTGTTTGCGATATACTCTTATGCATCAATAGATTTCTCTGTGTTAGCTCTTATGGCCTATGACAGATATGTGGCTATATGTCGACCTCTGGAGTATCACTCAATAATGTCTGTGCAAAGGACCGCTGTGCTTATTGCTCTCTCCTGGCTTGTCCCTCTCTCATGTGAAGTGATGGTTATTACTTTGACATCTAAACTAAAATTATGTGGTTCTCAGATAGATAAACTCTATTGTGAGAACTGGTCAATTGTCAAACTTGCTTGTAGTTCAAATGCAGTAAACAGCATTATCGGATTGGTCGTAGTGACTTTCTATATTGCGCATGTTGTCTTCATCTTTTGTTCTTATGTGCAGTTGGTCAAATCAGCTTTAAAATCCAAGGATGTTATGAGAAAGTTTACACAGACATGTGTTCCACATTTGTTTTGTCTGTTTAATGTCACTGCAGCTTTGCTTTTTGACATTATGTACTCACGGTATGGGTCAGCATCTGTGTCACAGAGTGTAAGGAACTTCATGGCTATACAATTTCTCCTGGTGCCCCCTATTCTCAACCCTGTTATCTATGGACTGATCCTGACTAAAATTAGATACCAAATTATAAAGTTGGTTATGATTGCAGGTCAGGGAATGAAGTTAGGAAGGAAGCTTTGATTTTTTGAAAAGGTGTATTTTTATGATCCAGTACATTATGTTATTGATCGAGCAGGTTTCAGAAGTCAAAGGCATGACGTGTCACATGAAGCTAGTGTGTGAGCTGCTGAGCTATAACTCTTAGGGCTTTTACAAACAGAGATTGTTATTCTGTAGATAATAACAAGATCTTATCTCTGGTCCCAAAAACGTTTTTAAACTCAATCAAAACTGTCTAACTCTGACTCCACTGGTATTATATTCTCCTCTTAGGGTCATTAGAGATTTTGAAAACTGACTGACTGAAAACAGTTTGAT